GCGAATAACTGATTCTTAACTTGTAAAAACTGGCATTTTCCTCCATGCCAAACTCCGAAGTTCACAATGCCAGTCATCTTTTGAGTGTCTTTTTTAGAATACGCAGTTCTGAAACGCGTTACAGCCTACACGAAAAAGGCATTGTTGCAACAAATTGAATATCAAGGGCGAAAAGTAGTGCGGAAACGTGATTAGCCAAAATATGGGTCTTTTTCTTCCGAGACTGTCAACCATTTGATGGTCAGACCGACTGAAATCACTCTTCTTCACCGCTATAAAAGAAAAGAAAACGCTCAGTCAAACAAACTGCAGGTAATTGCTGTGTACTTTTTTCTTTGATTGCAGGCATATTTAGTGAGGATATAAAAAGGAAGGGGTTAAAACACCCTCCGAAGAACCGTCAGACAAGAATAAGCTTCCTGGTACGTATGGGACCAGGCTAGATAGGTCAAAGGGCAACCCCTTTGACTTCCATTACATGGCAAAATGGCACAGCCTGAAAGGTGGTCTGCACTTCAAATTCTTGACATTTGCCTATTGTCAGTATTCGTATTTTCTTCGTATGTTTTAGCTGTCTGTGAATTTGGGGCACTACAGGTTTGTCGTAAGCGTCCCTCATGGCGCGAAATGTTGACCATGTCGATCATTGGGTAGAACGACGTTTCAACAATTAGTACATTACGCTCGCACAAACTATGGCGAATGAAGTCTAGCAAACTTATTTCATCTACCACCGTAATTTAAGCCCCTAGTATTTAGGGCTAAAAAGCAGGGCTGGCTTTATTCCGGGCCTAAATGACTTGAGTAAATTATTCGAAGTTTCAGGCCTTTTAGTTTACGTACAGACTACTGGTTGTCTTATTTGGTTTTTGCTCATGGATCCACGGATTGAATCGCTTGATATATATGCACGCCAATTCTCTGTCAAAAGTAGCGATAAGTTCAACAGCAGGCCCCTTCGCTACAGGTACAAAATGCAGCCCCATCTGCTAGAAACTCTAGTTCTCAACGTGGAGGTGGGATAAGTTTGCTGTACCAGGGAGGATCACAATGATCGTGGAATTAATTCCTGTAAATTGTATACTTACGTAGTTTAATTATCCGGCGAATCCAAACCCACTGTCTTGCATGACATCTCCCACACCTTGGCACATATTGAGTCGTCCTGGGCCTGGCGATTTATCGACGCCGGGGCGCAGTCCGCATAATAGCCGCCATTCTCTAAATCAGGTGCCAGTACGGCATACACGGTGGTCTGGGCGCCTTCCCATTCGTTTTTCATGAAAGGACGGCTCAGGGCGCGAAATACGGCCGTAAAGAAGGGACAAGATTAGAGTATCAGTAAGGCAAGTTAATATAAGGGGGGAGAAAACTAGTTACTTACTGTGAAAAATGTTATATATGTCTGAGCTTAGGAATTTTTCAGGAACCCAAAATAAGAAAAAACAATAATATATTCGCAGCCATTTGCGTGTCGGTGACAGGCATTATTGGTCGGAAAAAAATGGAGACCACATTTGACAGAGCAAGTTCTGAGTTAAATGCAGGGAGGAGAGTTAATGTCGCAGCTTACAAGCTTTCCCGGAAGGAGCTGGTTTTCTGCGCCGATGAGGTTTGGCGTTGTTTTCC